TGATTTTTTTTTTGTCTGTTTTGTGTTTATCTTTTCAAAGAAATACCTCTTGGTTTGATTTTTCTCAATAGTTTTGGAGACTCAATTTCACTTATTTCTGTTATGATCTTTATTATTTCCTTCCTTCTACTCCCTTTGGGTTTTGTTTTCTAGTTCTCCATGTGTGAGGTTAGATTATTTCAGACTTTTCTTGTTTCATAATATAGACTTGTAACGCTCTGAATTTTCCCAATAGATCTGCTTTGTCTGTGTCCCACAGATTTTTGAGTCATTTATGTTTTCATTTTCATTTGTAAAAAGGTGTGTCTTTTGATTTCTTCCTTGATCTCATTTTTAACCCATTAATTTTTTAGTAGCATGTGATTAGCCTCCATGTGTTTGTGTGTTTTTTCAGTTTTCGTCTTGTAATTAATTTATAGTTTCACACCATTGTGGCCAGAGAAGATCTTGGTATGCTTTCACTCTTAAATTTACTGAGACTTGTTTTGTGGCCTTTAGTCTGTCCTGGAAAATGCTCCATGTGCACTTGAAAAGGATGTATATTCTGCTTTGGGTTGAAATGCTCTGAAAATACCAATTAAATCCATCTGGCCTAGTATTTCAGTTAAGGCCACTTTCCTTGTTGATTTTCTGTCCAGAACATATATATCCATTGATGTCTATGGAGTGTTAAAATCCCCTACTATGACTGTATTGCCATCAACACAGTCATATCCATCAATATTTGCTTTATATATTTAGGTGCTCCTACATTAGTTGCATAGATGTTTGCAAGGGTTATACCCTCTGATTGGATTGATCTGCTTATCATGAAATGATAAGCCCTTCTTTGTGTCTTGTTACAGCCCTTGTTTAAAAGTCTATTTTGTCTAAGTATTGCTACCCCAGCTTTTTTCATTGCCATTTCCATGAAAACTTTTCCATCTCAGTTTGTGTATGTCTTTAAATCTGAAGTAGGTCTACTGTAGACAGCATATGTTCTGGTCTTAATTTTATATAGTTATCACAACATTTTATTGTTTCCTGATGGCTTTTGTAGTTATTCTCTGTTCCTTTTTTTAAAGATTTTATTTATTTATTTTTAGACAGAGGGGAAGGGTGGGAGAAAGTGAGGGCAAGAAACATCAAAGTGTGGTTGCCTCTCACAGTGCCCCCCAACTGGGGACCTGGCTTGTAACCCAGGCATGTGCCCTGACTGGGAATTGAACTGGCGACCCTTTGGTTCGTAGGCTAGCGCTCAGTCCATTGAGCCACACTAGCCAGGGCAGTTCCTTTCTTACTCTCTTCCTCTATTATATGTTGATGACTTCCTATAGTGTCATATATGAATTCCTTTCTTTTTATATCTTGTATATCTCGTACAGACTTTTGGATTTTGGTTAACATGTGCTTCATGTATACCAGATAGTGTTTATAGCAGTCTATTTTAAGTTGATGGTCACTTAAGTTTAAACATACTCTAAAATCACCACTAAAATTTTTACTCACCCCATCCTTATTTATTACATTTATGATTTTGTCATTACTTTTTTACTTCTTTTTGTATGTGATTGTATATATTTTTTATTGTTGCAATTACACATGATCTTCCTACTTTTGCCTTTTAACCTTTGTACTAGACTTAGAGTTGGTTGATACACTGCTTTTTTGTCTTTGTCAGTAAGAATTTTTTCTTTCCTGTTTTTTATTCATATTTTTATCTTTTCAGTTTTTCTTAAGTCTTTTTAACATTTCCTGTAATACTAGTTTAGTTGTGATGAATATTTTTTGCTTTTTCTTGTCTAGGGAATTCTTTATCACTTGATTCTAAATGGTAGCCTTGCTGGGTAATATATTTTTAGGTCTTTGATTTTCTTCACTTTGAATATTTCTTGCCAATCTCTTCTGGCCTGCAAAGTTTCTGTTAAGAAATTAGCTGATAGTCTTTGGGGGCTCCCATTAAAAAATGACTAATTAACCATTTTTTTCTTGCTGCTTCTAAGATTCTGTCTTTATCTTTAACCCTTGACATTTTAATTTTGATGTCTTGTGTTGGCCTCTTTGGGTTCATATCATTTGGGCCTCTCTGTGCTTCCTGCACTTGTATGTCTGTTTCCATCACCAGGTTAGGAGAATTTGCAATCATTATTTCTTCAACTGGATTTTTAATTCCTCGCTTGCTCTCTTATCCTTCTGGTACCCTCATGATGTGAATGTTGGTACCCTTGTTGTTGTCCCAGATGTCCCTTAAACTAAAAAAAATTTCTTTATGTTTTCTGTTCTGAATGGGTGTTTTTCTCTACCTTGTCTTCCAGATCACTGATTCAATCTTTGTTTCATTTAGTTGTCTGTTGATTCCCTTTAATATATTGTTTATTTCAGTTATTGTAGTTCTCATTGCTGACTGGCTCTTTTTTATAGTTCTTGTCTCTTTGTTGAGGTTCACCTGTTCTTCCCCAATGTTCATTGAGCATTGTTTTTGCTTGTTTCTTTTTGTTTAAAACAGTCAGTCTCTGCTTGGCCTTCTCTGTTTGGCCTCCTCTGCCATGGCCCTCTTGCCGCATTGAGCTTTCCCATAACCAGTGTTTTGAACTCTGTATCTGGTAAACTGCTTCTCTGTTTTGTTTAGTTCTTTTTTTGTAGCTTTTTCCTGTTATTTCATTTGTTTCATTTGGGATATTTTTTTTGTCTCTTCATTTTGGCTACCTCTTTATGTTTGTTCTTATATATTAGGCAGATTTGCCATGTCTCCCTGTTTTGGCACAGAGGCCATAATTACGCAGGATGCATCCTGTCAGGCCCAGAGGTGCAGTCTCCCCATTAACCTGAGCTGGGTGCTGCAGAGCTGTCCCTCGTGTGGGCTGTGTGTGCCTTCCTGATGTAGTTGAGCCTTGATTGCTGTCGGCCCTTCAGTGGGTTGGGATCAACCCTCACTCTGCTGGCTGTTCGGGCTGGCCTTCACTACAATGGACAGCTTTTTTTGCGAGAGTTGACCCCATGGAGCAAGAGTCACTTTAGCAGGACTCTGGTACCAGTCAAGTTCCCCTTCAAGTGTGTTGTTTGTGGAGCTGGTTGGCCTGTGCTCTGTTGTAATCTGAAGCCAGCCACCTAGTGTGTTAGTTTTGGAACCTCTTAGAAGGGGCTTTGGTTCAGGCCAATGTCAGCTGCCCTTTGTGCTTGGCTTGGGGCTGCCTGGTTGGAGCTACAGAGTGATCTACATTTGGTTACTGCTTATGCTGGGCTTGGCAGTGCTTGGGAGAGGCTATACTATGACCCAAGGTCAGCTGCCCCTAGGGCCCTTTGGTGGGCATCCCAGTGTGTGCTTAGGCTAGCCACCACTTGTTTTAAGCTTTAGCCACTTTGGTGGAGCCATGCTTCCGTTTAAGACTGGCTGCTACCTGGTGAGAGATACAGCACAAGCTCAGACCAGTTGCCGTTTGTGCCAGGCTTGGGATCACTTAGCAAGAGGTACAGGGCACACCAAGGCCAGCCTCTGCATGTTTGGGTTTTGTGGACCTTTGAGAGAGTTTAGGGAAGTTCACAGTGTAAGCCAAGGCAGACACTTGTGTGGAAAACTGCTGGAAGTGGCTCGAGCCAGGTATGTGAGTAGGAGTGGGATGGGGTCTCAGGAATCACCAGGGTGGGTGAGCAGTATTACCCTGAATAATGGAGAGCACAGGTTTCTGGCTGGGTGGGATTGAGCTCAACAAAGGAGCAGTGGTGCCTGCCAGCATTTCCATCCCCAGACAGAGCTGACCAGATCCCCCCACCCTAGCCTTTGCCTTGAAGTTAGTAAAATTCAGTACCTCTCCGAATGCCCTGGAGCTTTTCTACCTGCTGCCCCTGCTCTGGAGTCAGAGCAGGTGAGTTTGTAAGTGAACACGTCTGTGCACTGGCTCCTAAGGAGGAGCACCTGGAACTCCAGTAGCCCTTTGTCTCAATGGGATACAATCCCTGCTAGTTTCCACAGCGGGAGTTACGGGGACTCTTGCCGGCACTGGGAGCCTGGACTGGGGAGCCTGGTGTGGGGAGCCTGGTGTGGGCTGTGATCCCTTATTCCTCACGAGAGAACTCCACAACTGAAATATCTTTCCTGATTCTTTTTTTTCTTTTCTCTTTTCTTTTCTCTTCTTTTCCTTTTTTAACTACTGGTAGTCAATTTATTAAAAAGGTTGATTTAAGCATCTGCAGTGGTGACTTCACACTCAACTCCTGGCTCAATACTGATGGAAGCGATCTGCTTACCAGTCTCAGAAGAGCTGTGCAGGTCAATGAGTCACTTGTGAGTCCTCATCTGACATGGACCCTAAGTCTTAGAACCCTCCCTGCAGGGAGTTTTTCTTGTAGTGATCCTGAGAATCTTGTTAGGTATCCGAACTCGTCCTCTCATTTTGAGATTCTTTTCCTTTGTACCTCTGATCAAGTCAGCATACACCTTCTGCAAAGACTCCACGTTGCAGATGGTTCTAGTAATTCTTATTCAGTGATTGTTTCCTCTGGTCCCATGGTCTTTCCAGTACCTGTAAAAGCCATCGCTACGGCATAGCTTCCTGAGTCAGGAGCAAGAGCAGGCGGGATGGCCCTATACTGTAGCTGCAACTACCTCTTCCTCAAAACGCCCTCCTGAGTCTTAAATATCACACGATGGGGTGGAGTCTGCCCGTTCAGTGTCTCCACCCCTCCTACCAGTCTCAAAGTGGCTTCTTCTTTACATCCTCAGTTACAGAGCTCTTGTTGAGCTAGTTTTCAGGTGGGTCTCAGTGATGGTTATTCTGTAATTTAGTTGTAATTTTGATGTGGTCATGGGAGGAGGTGTGCACAGTGTTTACCTGCCCCACCTTATGTGGTAGGAAAAGAAAGATCTCGTTTTCGTCCCTTCACCCGTGTGAGTAACCTCATTGCTCCTTGGCTTCCCCTCTCAACACCACTGAGCCTTTCTGTCTGGAACATCTCTTATCTATTCTGGTTCTCCTTCCACCTGTTCCAGTGCCATTTTTTTTCTTTCTTGCTCCCCTTCCTAGCTTCCAGTTTAATCAGCATCTCATGGATAGTCTGAGTTTGAAGATCCGGGAGCTCAACAGCCTTGTCCTGCCTCAGCCTGAGCCCAGTGATGAAGATGGGGAGTCGGATGTGGACTGGCAGGTTAGAAAGCAGAACAAGGAAGTTGAAGGGGTTCTGACCTAGGAGAGCAGGGGTATTTTCAAGAGAAACTTTGTAACAGATTTGGATTTTTTAAAGAAATCTTGGGCTTAGGACCTTTTATGTCCCTGATCCCCTTGCAGGGTGAGCGGAGGCAGTTTGCTGTGGTGCTGCTCAGCCTGAGGCTTCTAGCAAAGTTCCTGGGCTTTGTGGCTTTCCTTCCATACCGGGGACCTGAACTGCCCCCAACCCGTGAGCTCCAGGACTCCATTGTGGCCCTGAGGAGCCAGGTGAATAGGGGCTCTGGTAAGGAGGGAGCTGGGAGGAGCCAGAAGACACCGTAGATAGAGGGCACTTTTCAGCCCCTGGGGACCTGCCCACTGATGTCTGGCCCTGCCAGGTGCCCCCAGCCCTGGATGTACGAGCTCTGCTGCAGCAGGGGCTGCGGGCCCACCGAGCGGTGCTCACGGTGCCCTGGCTGGTGGAGTTCCTTTCACTGGCTGACCACATTGTTCCCATGCTGGACTATTACCGCAGCATCTTCACTCTCCTGCTGCACCTACATCGGTGAGTGGAGAAAGGGCACGGCTTAAGAACAGTGTGGGGAGAATGTTGCTGAGGCTGCTGATTGTGAAGAGAGCTTCCTGTGTGGAACCACAGCCATAGTGGACCCTCAGGGGAGAGGCTGGATTTGAGCCACAAAGAAAGACACTGGGTTGTCTTTTGCCCTTTTCTATTCCCACTGTGGCCCAGCCGGGAGGGAGTGTAGATCTGGGAGGGGCAGTGAGGAGACAGATCTGGTCACCTGGATGACAGCAGTCTCTTTTTGGTCTGCTTTTGAGAATTACCTTCTCGGCCATGGCTTTCTTTTACTCCATTTCATTTCTTTGCACAAATTCAGTTGATACCCTCACTGACCTTTTAGGAGCTTGCTTCTGTCGAAGGAAGGTAAAGGGGAGATGTGCTTCCTGAACAAGCTGTTGCTGCTTGCTGTCCTGGGCTGGCTTTTCCAGGTTGGTGGAGTGAGGGTCCAGGCTGGAAAAGGAAGGGAAGGGGGCAACTACTATGGCTGGAGGTGGGGGAAGGGAGAATGTCCGAGTCTGATCAAGGTTGGGGCTGGAAAATGAAGGTGCAGAGGTGGTCTGGGAATTACCACCGTTTCCAAGGAAAGTTGCCTAAAGCCTGGACCACGAAGTAGGTGTGATGAAGCTCTCGAGTGCTGACTGGAGCTTGTACTGCTCAATCTCGTCAGATTCCCACAGTTCCCGAGGACCTGTTCTTTCTGGAAGAGCATCAGTTGGATGCCTTTGAGCTGGATACAAGAACTTCAGAGCAGAGTTTGGTAAGTGCTGGAGTCCAGCCAGGGCCATGGGGTCCGCAGGGACAAAGGAGGCAGGCTGTCTGAGGCCCCGGAGGAGACAAGCCAGGACAGAGACTGAACTCTTTATGGTTCTTGGACCGGACTGTCCCATTTCTGGCACACTGGGAGGGAAGAGAAGCCTGCCTGCCTTCCTAGTTCTGGCCTGTTTCCTCCCCAGGATGGCATGCCTGTGGTGGACCAGCACCTGCTCTACATTTGCTGTCCCTACATCGGTGAGGATACTTGTGTCACCACCCACTCCCCACCAAACAGTCCTTAGTCCTTGACCTGTCCCTTCATGAGGACCCAAAAGGCACCCCATGGGCCTAACACCCTAATGTTGTGTTCTGTTGTCAGGCAATCCCCAGGTTCCTCAGCCTCTTTGCTCCACAAATGCTTCAATGTGTGGTTGCGGGGTTGGGGGGGCGGGTTCTGGAACTAAGCACTTGGTCTTCCCTGATGCAGGAGAGCTCCGCAAATTGCTGGCTTCATGGGTATCAGGCAGCAGTGGGCGGAGTGGGGGCTTCATGAGGAAAATCACCCCTACTACCACCACGGGCCTGGGAGCCCAGCCTCCTCGGACCACCCAGGGGCTGCAGGTGAGGGGCAGGGTGGAAGTAGGGGGCCACCCAGTGGGGAAAAGGGAATCCTTCACTGCATTACTCCCTCCTCCCCATAGGCACAGCTGGCCCAAGCCTTCTTCCATAACCAGCCACCCTCGCTGCGCAGGACTGTGGAGTTTGTGGCAGAGAGGATTGGTTCTAACTGTGTCAAACATATCAAGTGAGTGTGGGTTGCGGGGTTTCTGAATGGAGGTATTGAGGGTCCCTGTCTCATTCCCTTACCATTTTTTTCCCCTTTTAAGTCTTAATACTTTGTTGCTAAACTGAGGAAAGTCAGTTGTGAGGGATTGGCGGGCAGAGCCCAGGGTGGTGTGGGAGGGGGGATGAAATTGCTAACTTTCTTTGAAGTTAGTTCTGACCAGATTTCCTTGAATTTGCAGCCCCTTTTTGATTCAACCCTTCCAACTACCTCCAAACATTGCTGTCCCTGCTACAGGGCCACGCTGGTGGCAGATCTGGTGCGCCAGGCAGAATCGCTTCTTCAGGAGCAGCTGGTGACGAAGGGACAGGAAGGGGGAGATCCAGCCCAGCTGTTGGAGATCTTGTGTTCCCAGCTGTGCCCCCACGGGGCCCAGGCATTGACCCAGGGGCGGGAGTAAGAGACACCAGTCTGTTTGAACCCTCTCCTCTTAGCTTTTACACTCATGTTCCTTATTCCATATCTTCTCCCCACTCTGCTTTTTTTATTTTTTTCTCCTCTTTAAAATGTCTTTGGCTGTAGAATTTTGGGGAACCCAAAGTCCAAGTTATATCGGAAGAGTAGGTGGTTAGGGTTCCTATTCCTCCCAGCGTCTGGGTGGGGCCAGAGGCCTAACAGTGTTCCCCCCTGAGGCAGAGCCCTCCCGCTCACATGATTGGCACACTCAGGACACATCCTTCTGTGAGTCAGGCTGAACTAACTAGACATCACTGACCTCCTCTGTCTTCTTATAGGTTCTGCCAAAAAAAGAGCCCTGGTGCCGTGCGGGCACTGCTCCCTGAGGAGACCCCGGCAGCCGTACGTAGGAGAAGGCCTGGAGCTAGCGGGCTGGGTGGTTGGTATGGGAGAGTTGTGCGCTTGTGAACGTGCATGTGCAGCTGCTGGCACTGGGAGGGTCAGTTGCAGCCTTGGGCATTGGTCATCATCCTCAGCTGTCCCCTAGCCCCTGACTCTGCAGTCCTCTGTGTCACAGGTGCTAAGCAGTGCAGAGAACATTGCTGTGGGGCTTGCAACAGAGAAGGCCTGTACTTGGTTGTCAGCCAACATTACAGGTAAGGTCCAGGCAAGAGGAGTGTCTGGCCAGGTTTTTCAGAAGCTGACTGGCGTGAAGCTGGAAGACATCTGGGGGAGACGGGACTCAGAGCCTGCCGGAAACAGCGAAGGGTGTGCGTGGGTGGGCATGGTGAGCCCATGCAGGGCTGTTCTGGTGACCTCTTTTCTGTTCTTCCTCTGACCTCCAGCGCTGATCAGGCGAGAGGTGAAAGCAGCAGTGAGTCGCATGCTTCGAGCCCAGGGTCCTGAACCGGCTGCCCGGGGGGAGCGGAGGGGCTGCTCCCGTGCCTGTGAGCACCATGCTCCCCTCCCCTCCCACCTCATCTCCGAGATCAAAGTACACAACTCCCTACTCCCTTCGGCTCCTCTCCCCCACTCCCTGCTCTTTTCCTGGCCTCTTCCTTTTTCACATCAGCTCCAGTTTGTGTCGCAGCTTTCTGTGTTGTCCAGCTAGCTCGAGTTCTGTTTGACACTGAATGGGATGAGGTAGGACAGGGCTGAACTGAAGGGCTTTCCTAATGACTACTCTTCTTTGACTTTTGTGCTTGAATCACCTGAGAGGAGGAAAGGGCAGATACGAACATTTTTTACCAGATACTGTTCCACTGATGGCAATGGGGAGGGCTGCGGTTACAGAGTCTTTATGGGGCAGGTGCCTGGTATTGGCATGCGATTTCAGAAGTGTTCTTTGTGAGAGGTGAAACTTGTTTAGTTACAGGCAGTAATAATAATCTATCAGTGCTTTTAACTTGATTTTTTAAAAATCATACTGTCAAGATCCAAGGTCAGCAACAGCTCATAGGCCAAGTCCAACCTGCTCCTTGTTTTGTCGGTGAAGTGTTGTTGGAACACGGCCACCTTTGTTGGCTCACGAGCCGCCCAGGGCAGTGTTAGTGCCGCGGAGCAGAGCTGAGTAGTTGGGACACAGACCTCACGGTCTGCGGAGCCTCAACTATTTACTCGTTTGCCCTGCTCTAGGACAGTAGTGTAGGAGTGAAGGAGTGGACAAGGGACTGAAATCAAAGAGTATATAGGAGAGAGAAATAAAGGTGAAGTGGCCAGTAGCTACTGGTTTTCAATATACAGAGAATTTCTGTACTGAAACCTCAACAAGCATGAAATATAGAAAATATTGTGTGTATGCAGTTGGGTGCTTCCCCTAAATTCTTTCAAAATAAGATGTTCTCTGGAAATTGGCTAGGTGTGGCTTTGTCCCCAAATGAATGGCATCTCAAACTCTGTGGCAGCATGTTCCTCGGCTTACCTGCTCCATCTGTTCCCTCTGTCATCGTCCACTTGGTTGCTTCTCCCAGCCGTGCTGTCCTGCCCCAGCCCCCAGTCCAACGGCACCTCAGCCCGACCACTTTTCCCCCAGCGGTCCTGCCTTCCTTTTCCTTCTGCCTCTCCCCGCTGGCTGATCCCCACTCCAAGCCCCATTCTCTGTGGCCTCACTCTACCCTTGCTTTCTCTAGGATGTGCTCTCTGTGGCCACAGGGCCCCGGGACCCTGAGGAGGCAGTATCCCCAGAACATCTTGAACAGCTCCTCAGCCATCTGGGCCAGACACTGCGGTGCCGCCAGGTAGGCAGTGGCAGGATGCTCTTGTATCTTTGTCTGTGCCCGATAACCAGAGCGGTGTTGGCTCAGGGCTGCTACTCTAAGGATGGTGCTAATGTCCACGGTCTCCATGCTTTTTCCCCAGTTCCTGTGCCCACCTGCCGAACAGCATCTGGCCAAGTGCTCTGTGGAGTTAGCATCCCTCCTTGGTATGTCTTCTGTCACCTCACTCTCTTGCCAGACCCCCCAATCTCGGGGTTGGGTATAAGCAAGATGAGATCTTTTGCTCTTCTTCCTCCCGGGGGCTGGCCAGGTGACCCTGCCTCTATTTCTTTAAGTTTGGCTTTCCTCTCTCCCCATAGTTGCAGACCAAATTCCTGTCCTAGGGCCCCCGGCACAGCACTGGCTGGAGAGAGGGCAGGCTCAAAGGCTCCTGCACATGCTGCTTTCCCTGTGGAAGGACGACTTTCAGGTGCCCGTCCCCCTGCAGCTGCTATTGAGCCCAAGAAATGTGGGGCTTCTGGCGGACACTCGGCCGAGGGAGGTGAGTCAGAGGTGGTTGGATGGATGGATGGATGGATGGATGGGGGCAGGCAGGCTTCTTAGCCCTCTGGGGTCTTGCTAGGGTCATGTTCTGACATGTACCACTCTCACCCCAAACATTATGAGCTCATTTCCTTTGTTTCCCCATTTTCCCTTCCGTGCTGAAATGGACTCCTGTAGAGGCTAACCTTAGGTCTTTTCCCTCCTTGCAGCTCTGTCCTTTGTATCAGTCAGGGTCACTGTGTAGTCCTCCCAGCCACCCTCACCTCCTGCATGTGTGTTGCAGTGGGACCTGCTGCTGTTCTTGCTTCGGGAGCTGGTAGAGAAAGGTCTGATGGGGCGGAGAGAGATAAAGGCCTGCCTGGACAGCCTCCGTGAGGCCCAGTGGCCAGAGGTAAGAAGTCCTCATCTCCCCTTACCTGGAAAAAGAACAGGTATTATATGTCCCTTTTTTCCTGAAAGGGAGCAAGTGGTGGTGCCTGGCATTCTTAGCAGTTTTCCAAAGCTCAGTGGATTTTGTCAGGTGTCTCCAGGACCACCCTAAAATGGAGTGGCTGTCCTGGTATGTGCCTTCTTCACACTTGAGCAGCTGCTGTATGAGGAGCCGTGTCAGTGGAAGAAGGGAAGATGGAAGGCGGGTATAGTGAGAGAGCAGCATGGCAGAGTGAGTGGGTTTTTAAAATCAATAACCTAAATTTGTCTCATCTAGTACTTAATGTTGTGATTTAGGGCAAATAATTCATCAGTTCAACCATAAAATGAGAAAAATTTATATATTCTAAGCTTTGTCAAGATGAAATAATGTGCATATTAAGTACTCAAGTGGTGATTAGTACTCAGCAGATAGTTCTGAGCCTCTGGTCAGTTTACTGTCCCTGCCGGAACTTGGGCTCCCTAGGGTACTTAATGGGGCAAGGTTTCAAGTCCTTTTCAGTGTAGAAGACATTAGGAAATACAAGATACGAAGACATTTGGGATTTTTAGTAGAAAAGATGAACCATCCAGAATTACGTGTCTGCCTTTTCTGTTATCTGCTTGTTGCAGGACTTCTCTGAAGAATTAGCAACACTGTTCAGCCTGTTTCTAGCTGAGCCGCAGGTGCCAGAACCTCAGCTAAAAGCTTGTGAGCTGGTGCAGCCAAACCGGGGGACTCTGCTGGCCCAGAGCTAGGGCTGGGAAGGGGCTCTGCCCTGACGTCTCAGCAGAAGCCTGGAACCCTGCCTGAGTCTGCCTCAGGCAGAGGCCCCAGAGCCTAGTGCCACCAAGTGCCCACTGCCGACCCTTGCTGGTGCAGGAGCAGCTGAATCTGCGACTGGACTTCGTGTGGCTGCGTGGCCTCTCACTGACTGCAGGCTCGGCACCCTGAGTCCTAGGAGGAGGAGGGGGGTTCGCCTGAGTCAGGATTATGGTGGCAAAGTCTAGAGACTCCAGTCCCGGAGCAGAAGAGTTGGCTTTTATTACTTGGACACTCGATGGAATGACGGGAGTGGGCTTAAGCCCCCCTTGCTGCATTCCAGCATCTCTCAAGACTGTGGTTTGGGAAATCATGACAGAGGCAGATGACTTTTGGCCTAACTTGTGAGTAAAGTTAAAACACGAATCTTGGGAGCCTACATTTTCTTCACCAGCAGCTGGACTGCCGTCTCCTTAAAAGTGCGCAACAGATGAGGTGGGGTGCTCCCGACAGAAGCCTTCCACCTCCCTTCCTTCGGCCTCTGCAGGTAACCCTTGACCCTGGCTCCAGCCAGGGGCGGCCAAGCAAGGACCAGAACACTAGAGCTTTTTAAAATAAACTCCTCTTTACTGAGGGCGTCATGTCTTGTTTTCACCCGGTTCTTCCCTGTAGAAGGCTGCAGCGTGTCAGGTGGGCTTGGAGGGGGGCTTGACAGGGCCGAAGGGTACTAGTGGCAAGTGTTCTGGCATATGAGGCCCTGCAGGCTACAGAAGCCAACATACTGGACTCTGTGCAACTCCCTTGAAAGGTTCAGGGTTTTTACTCACTAGGTACTCTGTACTAACCTAGATGGTGGGGCTGGGGGTAAGGGGGAACAATGACCCATTGACTTGACCAAGCCTGCACTGCCTTGGCAATGTGCCAGAGATTCAGGCTTTTGGGGAAGAGGGTTCTCAGCCCTGTTGAAATGGCCTACAAAGTCTCTTCTGTGCCTACTTGTGTATTTCTTGGGAAAAGGTAAGAGTCTTTGAGCCTAGAGTTGTCTGCTGTGTGACCTCAGTAAAGGAGGTGAGGAGAGTCACTCAGTCCATCACATGGGGTTGTCTCTTAATGACCACTTTGTTCTCAGGCTTCTGCCCATGCCTGTGCCTTTCCCTTCCTCTCAGCTCATCCCAGGCACTCCTTTAACAGGTTTCTACATCTGACCCATTTTTCTTAATCTCTTCATTTTCAAAGTCCTTTATCTTTGTCCTTTAAATCCAGTTAATACTATAGAATTTCAGGAAGTTCTGAATGCTTGGGAATCAACTTTCTGCACCTTTACAGTGGCCGAACAAAAGCACTACCTCGGGAAGTGGAGCGCCCAGGGAAGCAGCGGCTGTCCCAGACACCCAGCTCTGAGTGAGGTGAGGTCGGCGGGCAGGTGGAGGAGGAAGCCTGAGGGGCCACGGACGACGGGTTAACGGCCACTCAGTTAACCTTAGCACAAGAAACTGTTTCCCTACTAAATGCTGAGGCCTACTCAGCAGTAAGATAACACTGGAATTAGAGGCACTAATGAGCTGGTGAACTAATTAAGTTCCTTTCTATATATCTGTTCTCCATCAATTATTAGAAACAGTGGTTTTCAATGTGTGGTCCTCAGACCAGCAGCCTCGGGCTCACCTGGAATTTTCTAGAAATACAAATATGTAGGCCGCTCTCCAAGCTCACGGAATCAGAAACTCTGGGTGTGGGGCCTGGCCTGGGGTGTTAACAAATCCTTTGGGTGATTCTGGTGCACAACGAGTGTCTGTCAGTCACTCCTCTAAACCTAAATCTGACTTTATCATGGAAATATAGGTCTGTGGATTATCTTTAACACTTTTGCATTTTGCTGAACTATCAGCCTCAGTTAATATTCTCTAGGTTGTTGACTTACAGGCCTGGGGTGTGGCTTCTCCAGTAAGGGGATAAGGTCCCTTCTGGGCTACTCATGCTCAGGTGCGTGTTGCTGTCTCTGCCGCGGAAGTACCAGAGGCGCACACCTGTTACAGCGCTGCCCTCCAGGGGACTGCGGTCACTGTTAGGTGTGGTAATTATAACTGTTCTGGACTCCTCCCTCGTTGGTATTTGGGCTGCAACTGGCCGTAATTGGGCATCTAATCTGGTTGCTATTTGTGTGCTTTAAAGCAAGTACTGAGCTCATGGAAAGCTCTCAGTCCATCTATGGCAACTGTGTAACTTGAAACCTGGCCGTGAGTAGGTTTTGCCATCATTACCTCCAAGCTAATTCTGAGCTCAGGTGACACGCTCAGGCTATCCCAGGACAGTGGACAGTCTTCACTAATAAAAGTGCACGCCGGGACTTCTCACATGCAAGTGCCCTGACTCGTCAGTCAGCAGTCTCAGTGAGAGATTTATAGGAAAAGAGATGAGAGTCCATAAACAGGGTGTTAAATATAAAAACTGTCACCAAACAGAAAAAAAAACCCAGGAAAATAAAAGTTTAAGGACAATTTTTAAAGTTTCATTCAATAATATATAAATAATTTGAGGTAAGAAGAAAAAATCCTGCAAACAAAATGCTTTTAGAAAAATAAATCTCTGCTGTAATCTACAGACATTTACCTATTTCCCACATCTTGATCCCCCATATGGTCACCTTCTTCCACCAAAGATTCTGAGCAGAACGAAAGCTGGGAATCTCTGCCACCCCCTACCACTTCCAGGTAACTGTACAGAATATTCAAAAGCTTGCGTTCAGCCAGGCTAAGACACGAGAAAACCCATCCTAGAATACGTGTGGCTGCAGCAGCATGAAATGCTAGTGAGCCATCTGAGTGTGGTAAGAAATGGAGCTGAGCTTCCACTTAACAAATCACTTACCTCCTCTAGGAGTTCCAATATGTTCTCTCTCATCTTCAAGAGTTTTTTATCTCTTCAAAATTCCTCTTGCCTTGTCAGCAGCCAGCATCTGGCTACCTACCTCCTAACCGCCCCATCCTCCCTTAGAGAGCTAGGCCCCCACCTTGAGCCCAGATCTGTCCAACCTGCTTCTACAGTGGTCGTCTCATCCTACTGAGCTCTGGAGTGCGGCTCCGTGGCAGAGCACTGGTCAGCACTCCCAACTGAGGCAAAGACCCAAACGTCCTCTCTTGTGAGGAAAAAGAAGAAGGGGGAAAAGTAGAAGTTAATAATAAAGCGCTTGGTCACAATTCAAGGAGAAACAATTCTGAATCACTGTTCTGGTTTGTGCAGCTGTTTTTTTAAACCAGTTTTCCATTTTGGCAACACTCCATACATCCCGCCGTGGAACTGAATGCTGCAGGCAAGTTTCTGAGCAGTCCCAGCCAATGGCTGCCTCCCTACCAGCTCAAGGGATGGGGCACACTAAGGAAGCACCATGTCAGAGACTGCTGCCTCTCAGCTCTGTTGGCTGTGTCCAGTCCTGGTCTTTGCAGGGCCTGTCTGCCATAGGGTCCCAGAGACAAGAAAGAAAGGTGAAAAATCCAAGAAGAGTTGAACTTCATTTGCTCTGGAAGGCCAGGAGCTCAGCTCCCCTTGGTCTGCCGAGGTGACCAAGGGCTGACAGCTTCGCTGGCAAGTCGGGGCTGAGTGCCATCTGCTCAGTTGGCCACAGCGAGTGGCCTTGCCTCCTCTTGCATCAGGGTACAGAGAGTAACAAGAGCTGCCCCAGCGTCCCTGGAGCATCCTGGGCCTGAATCTCAGCAGTATCTTGATGGTGAAATGCTAACTGCCAAGGAAGGAAGCCAGTCTGGCTATAACCAGCGGCTGCTGTTTGGTGAAGGAACCTAAGAGGTGAGGGGGTAAACCTGGAGCACCAAGTTCTATCTGAAATAAAGCAGAAATGGAAGAGTCAAAGGTACAAAAAGGCCCCTGTTGGTGTGGCTCAGTGGCATTGAGCATTGTCCTGCGGAGTGAAGTGTCGCAGGTTGAGTTCCCTGTCAGAGCACACCCCTGGGTTGTGGGCCAGGTCCCCGGTTGGGGGCACGTGAGAGGCAGCCAGTTGTTTCTCTCACATGTGGATGTTTCTCTCCTTCTCTCCCTCCCCTCTAAAAATAAGTAAAATCTTTTTTAAAAGGTACAGACAGACCTAGGAGTGTTCCAGAGCACACACTTCAGCCACAAGTAGCCCCCACCAGGTGTGGTGAGAGAAGCTCCTCAGATGGTGCTCCTAGGACCAAAGGCCGAGCCCTGCTGTTCAGATCTAGGCGTTGGCTTCACCTCCCAATGACAACGGTCAAGTCAGGGCTGGGAGTAGAGAGCCGAATAGAATGGGCCGTGCCCTCTCTGCTCTGCTGAGGCTGCCTCCTTCGCCTCGCAGTGACCAGTGACTCCTGTATCTCCTGAGGGCCCGGGACCAGCCAGAGGAGGTAGCCTGCTGGGCCTCTGGTACTAGCAGCTTCAGAGGAGGTCGATCTGCTATTTTCATTCTTCTGATTCCCCACTGACTGCCCTTACTGTGACCCAAAAAGCCTGAGTCTTCACTCTCAGACCACAGAGCCTGAACACTAAAGGATATTGAGCAGCTAAAGGATATTGAGCAGCTAAACAAAAGAACTCCATGGGGCTGTGAGGCCGGCTGTGGCGGGTGGGGGGTGGGGGGTGGCATCACCTGGGCCAAGTAGATGACTCTGGTGATCTCCTTTCCTTCCACGACGAGGGGCTGCAGGATCCAGGCACTGGGTAGGATCTCCCCTCGGACCATGTCTCTGCTGGGTCTCGGCATGGATGTGTCATATACAGACTGCGCTGCCATGATAGAAAGGTGGCCCTGGGGACAGAGAGCGGTGTGAGTCCTGCCTATGGGATGGGGATCAAACAGGGATGGACTCCAGTGCAGTCAGTACCGGGGAAGGCAGCCGGGGCCAGCCCGTCATCCCCTCCCCCACCCAAATCACCTTCCTTCCCCCAAAGGACCCAGGGCCCACGAAGATTGCCTCTCACAAGACTCCAGCCCAAGTTCTCCCCACAATATCTCTACCACCAGCAAGGCAGGCACCTCTCTGGCTTCCACGCAGACACAACAGAAATCCCGAGGCTGCTTCAGTGCGCAGAGGGCAGGGTTGCACACCAAATACACTGGAGGATCAGGGGTGGGGAGAGTCAGCAGGTGGGTAGGCAAGACCTACTCCTAAATCCTCATCCAGGGCCCCCAACACCCCATCATTCCACAGCCCACCACACAGCTGGACCCAGCCTGAGGGATCTGGAGGTGGTCTGAGTGCCCAACCTTCTGAAAGGGCTGCTTCTGACTGCTGCCTGTCCCCTGGGCAGGGCCCACAGAAGCCTCCCTGGGCTTACCCAAGTTGATGCTGTTGGTTACCCGCTGATGCAGCCTCGCTATCTGGATGGGCTTGTGGTACAGGGGCCACAGGGTGGGGTCACTCACGGCTGCCCACACATGAGACAGCGGCTGTGACACCACACCGGCCCCCAGGAAGCCATGCCGAGTAGAGGAGAATGCCTTGTAGTAGAGCTGCACCTCCTGTTCCTCACCCTGATAGCTGGGGCACCAAGGATAGGGAGGAGGACGTGAAAACAGGCCCCAGCGTCGAGGAGCTCAAGGTGGGGAAGGGAAAGGAGAGGGGCGAGCCGGACAACAGGGTCAAGACAAGACGCCACAAAAGAAC